AAGATAGAAAGTGAGATGCTTGTTGTTTGAGAAGTTGTTTTTGTTGCTGATGACACTTGTCTATCTTCATGCAGAGAAATGGCTAACAAATCATGTGCAAAATATTTAGACTATGTCATCTAAAATTTCTTTACAATTTCGTATGAAATAAAACTCCTTTTTATCAAAATACATTTTGTAACTACTTGTTTGTGCTAAAAATGCTGGAACATCTGATATATTTTATTTTATGTAAACCTCTAAAATCAAATAAAAATTTTAATTGTTAAACTCCAATTTTGTTCTTTTCCTTGGCACTTATTCTAAAACATATATGATGTCCCCTTACTGTCATTAAATCAGAGATGGGAAATTCTCTTGATCTGGTCAGGGAAGATTAGATTCACTGTCTTGTATTAGAACTAACTTATTGCAATAACATGTCACATATTACTTTGAAAAAATAATTTTGAATGACAAGTCTGTTATGCTGTATTTATGTTTTCAAGAATGAAATGATGAATTAAAAGAATTGCTATCTTGTAAATCCAATATAACACCTGGGATTCTTTTCCTAATCTAACTTTCAATACAAACATTTCAAGACACATTAAAAATTGATACTTTTTTCTCCTGTTTCCTATATTCACACTCATTTCCAATGGTTCCATACATCCTTATCTCCTACATCAACATGAATCTGAAACTGTTTTTGCATTATAGGTAAACGTGTCAGAACTAAGTGAAGTGCCATCCCCCAAACTAGGGAAGAAAAAAGCAGTTGGAAACCAATGCAGATCTGAATTCCTGAACAATCATCCTTATTTACTTTTCAGAAGTCATCTGAAGTGGATTAAGAGATCTAGGTTTGGTATTTCAGAGATCCAAAGGGTTCACTTATAAATTTTCAGTCTTGTGCATCACATTCCTCTGTTATTCAGTCTTAATAGCATGACTTACTGAGCCCCAAATCCATGGTGACCTTCATTTTATCACTGCTTATTTACTTCCCTCTCCAAAGAAAAATCACAGCAAATATGTAGTTATGACTTGCTTCCAGTACAACTGTTTTTTAGAAATGTCCTTTTAAGAAGGAGCAGACTCTCTGGAGACAGAGGTGTGAACGTTCATAATAAAGGATGTAATGGACTGAAGCACGTAGTCTTCTTCACTTATTTCCTAAAATTCTTTATTTGCTATCTTTCCAAATGTTGAGACATGAGTTATCTAACCTGGAGATATGCAGAAAATGCAAGAGAAATGTAAACAATGTCAGCTATGACAACTGAGAAATGTAAAAGCTTGCAGTACTGCAGCCCAAGTTTTTCTAGATGTCTGCAGGAAAATCTTCATTCCTCTGAGCTGGTGCAGTAGGTAGCTGACTCATCATCAGATCCTAGTGCATTCACTGACCTTGCCCCTTTCTGCACTCAATGGCTATTATTTCTTTCAAAATTTATATCAGCAACACACAAAAGACAAGAAGTCTCATATAACTGAAAGCTCAGTCTGTGCATTCAAGTTACTTATCTGAGACAATGATATTTTATTTTCCTTACTCAAATTTCCACAGATTCTGCATTGCAAACACACCCACACAGACACAGGCACACATACTTGCACCTGCAGGTGAATAGACTCCCTGAACTCAGATACCACTGATCATTTAGAAGTTTTCCAGAAACCATCCACAAATAATAATTTTGGAGAAAGAAGTCATTGTGATTTTAAACACTTTAAAGATATCTTTTGAAATACAAAACTGTTTTTTTGGGTTCTTTCATCAGCGAAACATACTTTGAAACACTGAAGACTTATCCCACACGCAACAGCAGGGAACCCAATAATCTGAGAACTGCAGACAATGTCTACAAAAGGATCATTTCCCATTTCTACAATAAGCTAATCTTTCCAGGACCTGTGTCTCTCCATGTTCCTAGAAAACCTTGTGAGTATGGTTAATAGGGATTAATTCTATACAGAATTCTCCAAATGACACTTTCTTAGAGAAAAGGAAAAATAACTAGGGAATGGAAGGATGCTTGATATTAAAATATAATGATATTTTGTTGTCCTAACACTGTTGTTATGATGATGGCAGTAAATTAATCCATCCTCTTGACAGTCATTTCACAGTAAGAATGAGAAAGCTTACAATTTTCTTTGCAGGCCACTCTATTCTTGTCCTCACTGTGCATTTCCATGACAATGACTGTGAGCATTATAACACCATTGTACATAATGACTCTGCTTTCTGTGATGTCACTCCCAAATTGTGTGTGAAATATGTGAAAGGACAGATCTGAAATGGCAGAACTCTCACCAGTGAAGCAGAGTAGTCTACAGAATTAATAATTGACAGAATTGACAGGATGCTGCCACCCAACAGAAGCCTGGAATTGAAGGGCACTGACTTCCTTTATCACTGAGGGGCTTTGTGTGAAAATTACTTGTCAAATTAAAGGCATGTAAAATGAGACCTTGATGAGGTGTGTACAATTTAATGCAACATTAGTAAAAAATCTATTTTTCTAAAATGTCTGATTTTTGTGTTAAATGACCACTACTGAAATTTTGCTAATTACTGATATTATGGCAGTCTCAGTTCAGGCTTTCCCCTGGCTTTTTTTTTTTTTTAATTAGAAATCTATGCCTGAGCTAATATAATTGATCTTTTCTTCAAATCAGGTCATCACAATAATCAAACCAAATGAAAAATAGAGTACAGTTGCTTTCAAGTTCCACAAAGCTTTTGCAAAGACAAGCTTACTAATGTTGTGAAGTACTCATAGTAGAAAATCATGATCACCAGATGGAATTATTTGAGGAAAATGGGAGAAAAACTAGTAAGTACAGAGGGAGAAATGTCCTCAAACAAGGCATGCAGTCACATTTTGACCACAAAGGATTGAAAGAAATTCTATTCATTGATCTCTGTAAATGTGACATTAATAGAGTGGTCAGAGGATGAAAGCAAATATATAATAGGATCATAAGAACATAAAATTGAAAGGGACCATGCTTTAGCTCACTGAATCTAGGCTTCTGTTCTGGCATGCAATCATGTCTATAAATGCTTTCATAAAGACAAATATGCTGTACTTTGAAACATCTTGAGATTTTATATTTTCTCTTCCTGTTAGTAGCCTCTTTCAGCATCTGACTTATTCTTGTTTTCACTCTAAATTTACTAAATGTTAATTCTAAATTAACTCACAGTCACAAAACCTTATTTTTTCAAGTAAAATTGCAATCAACCTAAATAGCTTTTATTTTTCATTGTGCTTTATTCAGAGGTGTATTTATAAACTATTATATGCCCTCTTCTATTATTTGTGGAAATAATTAAACAAACATATTTTATTGTCCAGTACTATCCCAGCCATATTGTTCAATTTTTTATGTACAGCTTCACATGTAAATCCATTTTTCTTGGCTAAAAGTAACCAGAATAGGAAATAGGTCAACATTATTTTCCACAATGGCTTCAGTGCCCTTTATCCCTGTTCTTTATATATCAGTTTTTGCAGCTTACTATCACATTCACCTTCTTTAAGGCATGACACTAGATCTGGTAACCAGCTCTTTCTCTTCCACTCTCAATTATAATAAATCACTAGTGTATAACAGAAATTCATTACATTGTTCTGTATTCCCAAGGTTTACTCCCTATTTCTATATCCAAACCATATTCATAATATCTAGTTCTTTCCATACAATGTTTTGATTCTCCTGCATAGCTTTGCATTAACAAAATTTTTGCAAATTTTTTTCTATTCCAGAATCATTTATGAAACTGTTAATCCGTGTAAAGCAGTCTGAAGGCATATCTCCTCATCCCCTTATCCCTTTTAAAAGCTTCTCTTTCAATGCAAATCATTACCTCCATTTGGAAAGGTCCTTTCTCAGTTTACATTTCCCTCACATATACCAATAATTTTTGGCATTCTGAAATACTTAGTAGTTTACTAAGTTTGGCATAACAGAGTATTTTTTCAGCCTTTGTGTTAACAGTCTCTTAAATAAATTTGTTCCACTTCCTGTTTTTACTTCAGAAGATACTGTTCAAATTTGGAAGCATTCACTACCAGACATCTGTGATTTCAGAGGCTACTGGTTCCCTTGCATCACTTTCTACAATACGATTTTCAGAATTTCTAATTTCAAGGGAAACTAAAATGAAATAATTCTTTTTTCCATGCCTTTTTCCCCATTGCCCTCATATTCTATGTATTTCTTTGATTTCATTAAGAAAATTAAGACTCATATAGATTATCTAATAGAAAAATTCTATCATAATGCAGCAAGACAGTCTTCAAGGAGAGCAAAACTTCCTCTGTCATATATCATGGGTTAAAGTTATATAGAGAGTTGTGTGTTATTTAATGCAAGTTAACACCTAAGCTCTACAGACAACATTACACATGATGAATCAGACTTCAGCTGGCCAGGCTTCAGTTCAATTACACTAGTCTGAACATTATGTCTGAAGCTCACTCTATATATCAGAACATAAATGCAGGACTTGTTCTCACAGACTTCTCATATGAAAAAGGCCACAAAGGATTTTCTTTTGGAGGAGACCTTTTCCACCCTACACTCAGAGTGGAATGAAAGCTATGGAGCTTAGACTGCATTTGTAATATTCCCTGAAGCAGAACTGAATATAATTCTGAAATAGTCTGGAAAAGCCATTAGCAGTGACCCCATGCATTTAGGATTCTGGAAATTGATGTAACAGGATCAACTGCACACACTGTGTTTAGCTGAGCTCAGAAAAAACCCTATTTTATCATATTTTAGTATCTTGATCCTATATACTTTTCTTTATCCTTTTGATAATAAACACAGTATTCACAGGGAACTGACAAGTTCACTGTAAATATATGTAGCAATCTAAGAGGTGTCTTCCCTTAAAAGAGGAGGTGCCATCTAAGGAGATAAATGAACTGCATCTTATCCGTGCCACATTTCAGGGAACAGAAAAAACAAACCAAACTAAAAGAGATCAACAGCCTTACCTTTCCTACATACTGAGGATCTGGTCCCATGTGTTCTTCTAAAACAAAGAACTGATTCCACACCCATCCACGCTTTGGACGATGATGCACTTCTGTTTCGCCTTCTATGTGCTTGGTTTGGTTTCTGGTCACCTTGATGGAGCCATGGTGAGCAGCTCCATAACACCTCTGTACAAAACAGAGACAAACTAGGACTGGGCAGATACAAGATGTACTTGTAATTCTCATTGTAGGATAAGATTCCTGTTCAAGGTTTTCTTTGTCTTGTCTTTTTCAGCTGTAATCCTTCAATAAGTTCCCGAGAGAGAAGGTGAAGTCTGCTTCAGAAATACAGTCCAAATTGGGTTTTTCTGCTTGTTCATGGTTTAGCTGCCCATTTGGGAAAGCTTAAATTATATTCACATTATGAAAAGCTGACTGGAAAAATTGGTATTTCTTCTGAGGTCTTCACAATAGAGTTCCACAGCCGACCATTTCTATCTAATATGAAAAGGAAAGAAAGACACTTACTCATCACTAAAAGTAGCAATTTTCAGGTTTCTGACCTTAGATTACACTCAAAGTTGTACTAAGCACTCAGTCAAAGACTGTCTTTGGAACTAAAATTTCATTTCAATCCTTCCTGTAAAAGCATTTCCTCATTGTTTATGTTAAATACAGTAAGACAGCATGGCTCCCACAAGCTGTGAAAACACTCACAATTAAAACCTGGATGATTCAGAATAGTTCCTTTGGCTTTCACCTACGAATCATTGACCTGGTCTGGCAGTAGAACAAAATCAGTTCTACAGTGTCATTAAATAGCAATCGCTAAATCATGTCACATGAGTTTTTGATGTTCTGTACATCACACAGATATCCAGCTTGATGAAAAATATCTAGTCTATAAAGGGTTTTGAAAGAATGCCACCAAAATGGGCTTTGAAAATTCTGAGTCAATACTAGAGCATACTGACAGGAAGCTTCAGTCAAAATGTGCATTTTTACACCTTGTGCTCAATATAAATTCAAACCAGTATCATTTAGGATATCATAAAATTATGTTATAATGATAGGAAGTTCATGTTGTTTTGATATCAGTATTTTCAGTATATTGACAATAATTTCTCAACCTCAAAAAGGGAAATGTAACCTCTTTTATTACAATAGTAAAATGTGAATATATGTGGAAGTTGATGTAGTGCTTAAAGCCAAGTACCTTGAAAGGAAAATATTTCTTCAACCTTAGGAAAACAGTTACATTAAAGTAACCATTTGTTCAGTTATCTGATGATGTCAAAGATTATCTCCATATCAGTCAGTACATCAGGAGTCTGAAAACATGCAACTGAAACTACAAAAATTGGACTCTTCCAATAGTGGTCTTCTTTGAGTATCATAAAGGTATATAAACAGAAACATAAGCTACATAAACAAAAACAAAATTAAACTAATTTTGTTTCTAGGTTTCATAGGAACCCAACAGAATAAATTCAAAATCCCTAAAGAAGAATCAAAAAACAATTTAGAAATCAGACAGAAAAAATACTGCAGTGGAAGAAAATTTATTAGGTGTCTTTTGGCTGCAATTTTTTTGAACATATGTTTCTTTCAAGTCCATAATAATAATGGAATCCCAAACCTCCTGGCTGAAAACAATTCCTCATCAGAACAATGGAAGAATACTTCAAGACTACTGTGCGTTAGATATAGACAGAAAGAACATATTTTCCATTGCTAGTACTCAGTTCAGAACAGTGGGTTTTGCTGAAGAGAAGAAAGAACCTCAGTCTCTTGTGGTTGTACAGGAGCTCAAAAAGAAACTCTTTATGGCATTTTGAACTGAAGAAGTAAATTTTTAGACATCTAGCATTATCCCACTTCTTGTTTCCAAAGCACTGTAGTCTCCCCTCAATCCCTATGAAGTCCAAGACAGCATTCTCTTAAAATTCTGGCATTCCATCTCTCAAAAGATTTATACAACATGATGAATTATTCTTTCTTATAAGTTCAAATGTGATTCAATAGGATTTTTGTTTACGGTTAAATGTTGTATGATGTCTAAGTTAGATCAGGGATGAAATCCAGACTCTCTGGGTGTCACATTTGTTTCTGGGTATATTATGCTTCTTGCTTAGTTTCCTTGCCTTTCTGCATTCTTTGCTGATTCATGTTACAGTTTCCTTGTATAGATTTCTATATATGCAGATGATCTATTTAAATAGATTAGTCATCATTATGCTTTAGATGTACATTAAAATTAAGAAGTGTCTCACAAAATATTAACACTTTAGTTTTATCTGTTCAAAGATAAATTATTCTTCCCTTTCTTTCCATCCAGAGAAGTGCCTGGGAGCCATTCATAAGACCACAGGCAGCAGGTAATAACTTACAAATGATATGTAAAGTGCATTGAGATTTCTCAAAATAGCACATTTAAAATAAATTTTAGATTATTACTACTGAAACTTACTTTAAAAAATCTGTGGGGATAGTTGTGATGGAAAATTTTTGCCTCATAAAAATGCACATATGAGTACAGAAGCTACCAACAAATCAAGATTTACTAAACAGAACTTTGTTTCTCTTCCCTCTCAGAAGTCAGAAGTCATCCATAGGAAAAAAAAAAAAAAAACAACAAACAAACAAACCAAAACAACCAAGATGGAGCCTGCAAACTGTTATGCCACAGTCACATATGAGCCAGAACAAATATTAAGGATATATTGTATTAATATATATATATGTGTATATACGTGTATAATATATACAATGAATAAGATACATTTGTATTATAATATTAAATATAATATTCAAATATATTGGAAAAAAATAGATAAAAACCAGCATAATATAATGGTCTTTTTCATCTTAAAAAAAGGTTGGTTCTTTTTAGCATTAACTAGGAGGCAATACATTTTTATTTAGTAAAACCACTATTTTATTAAATTCAATTAGGAGATTTAATTTTAATCACCTGAACCCAAAATTAAAGTTTTAAAATCCTTTATTCTGAACAAATATACTTATCAGTAATAATAATAATAATAATAATAATAATAATAATAATAATAATAACAACAGGAAAAAACCTTGCATTATCTACTTCCTGTTATACTCAGAAGTTCATGCCTTCAACAGTTCCTGAATTGTACATGAAGCCTAAAGAATCATTTCCACAAAGACAAATCAGCAATCAAACAGGAGGGGGTTTAAATGTCAATTCTTTGAAGTGTTACACCTCTGGTAAACATCTTTAAAGCCAAAGCCTAATTAATGCTCAGTACAAAGGTCCTTATTCAGCACTCTCCTACTAAAAGTCTAGAATAAGCATTTAATAAAGAACTGACACCCGCCCCAAAAGAAACCTCAAATCTACCTTGAAGACAGCAGAGAGTGTCTACAGGGGGAAGGTCAGATGGAAGCCTTTCACACAGTTAACACAGAGGAGACAGTAAAACAAAGACTAGACAAGAAATAGAAGAAAAGCAGAGGAGAAAAAAAAAAAAAGAACTTTCTGAAATCCCTTGAATTGAAGCTAACATACTGAGATGCTGCCTGCTTATTGCTCTTGTCTGCAGCTTCAGAGTAAGTGTCTTGATTTATGGCTTTTGTTATAAAGATTCATGCAGCTGCAGAGTAGACTTGTGTTATAGCCATCTCCTGGGACCCCTCATGAAAATGAGTTGTCTAGCTCAAGAGACTGTCAGAGCAAGTTAAAATTAAAATAAATAATTAAATAAGATGGGATGGGAAAGTTCTACCAGCATTGCTGGAAAGCATTACAGCACAATAGTTACTGCTTAGTGTAAGACCCTATAATGAATTCCCAGGAAACAAACAGGAGCATAGTGATGCAAAATGTGTATGTTTCACCACCATGAGGAGATGCATCCTTAGTAATGGGTACTTGTCCTGAATCTCAGTGTCCTCTATCTTCCATCCAATTGACCCCCATTTGAATTCTTCTGAATGATCAAGTTTTGCAGATACACATTTAGCACAATTAAACTTATCTTTTATACAACCCCTTTAAGATCCATGGTGACAGAGTGACAATTAGCTATGGAGCTTGTAATAAATGAAATTGCTTATATGCTTTCTGATTTCTCTCTCTGCCCTCTGCCCTGTAAATCTCCTCCTATCAGAAAAAAAAAAAAATTAATAAAATTAATTATCAAAATCTGAACAGTTTCAAATCATTGTCATTGTTATATATATATATATATATATATGAACACCCAGAAAAATCTTATGTCCTGGATTGCCTGTGTTTATTGTTTATTGCTAACATTATATTCTTCAGCACTGCAGAAACAATGGTATATTGACCTGGAGACCAAAGGCAGAGTAATGTACTAGTGTCAGAAAGGAGAATTGAATGTGATTTTTTGCTACATCCTTTGAATAAGACTTTGATAGATTGCCAAGAGAACATACAGTATTCCTGAAGACCTCAGGTAGCTGTCAGAAAAAAAATAGTGACATTTCTAGGTAGATGAAGGAAGGTTGTTCATCTGTAGTTGATCTCTGTTCTCTATTCCCAAGGCTGGTAGAGCTGAGCTATGGGAAGTTATACAACAAACTGAAGTACCAAGCTCTTCTCAGTCTAACTAATAGAGACACAATATATAATTGTCTGTGTTCTGCACAATTGATACTAGTCAGTCTAACAGAAGTAGTGACAAAACTGTTTTAGAATGCATTTAAAACTGTATTACATGCTGCTGCCTTGCCTTTTTGTTGTTTTTAGTTGTAGCTATGTGTATGAGAGTGAAAACCAAGAAAACTCTAATTAAGAAAATGCTCTTGAAGTAGTTAAATAGTGATTCCAATAACCAAAAATGTTTTAACTGTAGTTCTATATTGGCAGACCTTCTGGAAATGGGAAACTGGACTCTTTTTTTACTTCAATAGCATAAGGAAATTTCCATTAATTGGTAAGATAATTGCATGAGATATTAAACCCCTAAATTATTGCTAAATTTATTTGTAGGTATATTACTATTCTGAAACATAGTCTTTATCACTCTGGAAATTGATCAGTTTTCTAAAGAAATAGAGAGAAAAGAGCATTGGATGCCCTTCTCCTCATCCCTTTAAACCAGCAATTGTAGCTGCTGGCTGTACAGTGTCAAGGAGTGTTATTTCTTATACCACTCTTTCACATTTACACACAGCATTTGATAAAGAGTGTATCTATTTGCAAAAATCCAAAAAGTGTCTATAGTAATCTAATACCAACAATT